AACCAAATTCTTGCATTTGTGAACCCCTCCTTCCTGAGTCAAGCAGAAGGTTTTCAATAGAAAGAGCTTGGCTTCATTTGCATTGAATTCTCTTTGTGATTTACTTCCTGTTAATTTTCAATAAAGACACAGAGAAGCTTGGCTTGGGGTCTTCAGTCGAGAACTGCTGGCCCCCTGTTTTATGCTCTCTGATCCATCACTTTCCTGGCTGTTTGTCTCATTATTAATAATTTTAAAATTATTCCATTCTTTGGGACCCTTGGTCTGCAACACTTTCTTGTGATGATTTTTTAAGTTATTATACCTCTTTATTTATACTACCAATTATATCTTCCGTCTTTTGCATTTTCTTTCATAGCTGTTCAAGTTGCTCCTCATTAATGTCTTTCTTCTGGCCTGTTGCCTTTGGGGTATTTGCTTTCTTAATAGTTTCTTCCATAATTTGCATCTTCTTCTGTAGCTCTTCAAATAACTCCACATCAATGTATTTCTTTTGATTCTATCAGGAATATTCATTGTGTCTGCTTTGTTAGGAGAAGGGTTATTTTGTTTTTTCATGATAACTGATGCTGACTGCTGCTTTCTTGACATTTTGCAAGTCTTAGTAGATGTTAGGTCATTATAACTCTATAGTGATCCAAAGTATGACAATGTTTTGTAAAGGACCTGTATATTTGTGCTATCTTCTTGAACTGAGGCCAACCCCCTAAAATATCTGAATAGGAAACCAGGAAGCCTGTTTGATCTGGTTTTCCACTTGACTGGAGCTGCTCTAGCTGCCCTGCTCCTTTTTGCTTGAGCTTAAGGGATCTCACGATGTGTAGCAAAAAAGCAATGTTTCCCCCAAAGTTCGATGGCTGCAATGCTGCTTCCTGCCATGCAGCCTTGTTTTGTTTTTTGTTGTTGTTTTTAAAACTTTTGTTGTGATTTGACCTTTTACAGAGTGAATTTGTTTTTCATTCAACTGTTTATGTATATTTTATATCATTGTTGTAGTTGTTGTGTGTCATCAAGCTAGAACTGATCTAATGCTGACACTCCATTGGGTCCCCACATCAATCACATGGGCAGTCAGTCACATGGGAGGAGACTGCCTAAACCTCTTCTGTGGAGCAGCTGGTGGATTCGAACTGTGTGTCCCTGGGATAGAAGTGCAGCTTCTTACCATTAAGCTACCAGTGCTTTCTTGTTTGATTTCTTTGCTGCTTCCAGAAATGCTGATTGTAGAGCCAAGTGAAAGGAAATCCTTGCCAATCTCAATCTTTTTTTTCTCTCCCTTTATTATGATGTTACTTATTTGTCCAGTCCAGTTGTGAAGACTTTTGTTTTCTTGATGTTGAGGTGTAATCTATGCTGAAGGTTATAATAATTGAACTTCTTCAATACTCAGTTAAAAATTGCTTCAAATGCTTCAAGTCTGCTTCATTTTCAGCAAGCACACTTGTGTCATTTGCATATTGCAGGTGGTTAATGAGTCATACCTCCGGAAACTCTATGACTTTCATATGATCTTTGATAAATGTCAATAGTTGTAGAGGGGCTTCAGGCCTTTTGTTCATAGGGTCACTATGAGTCGTGCTCAACTTGAAGGCAATTAACAACAACACAACAACAATAAGTCTCCATCCAATCTTCTTTATATGGCACAGAGTACCTATTTTTTAAATTCTCTATTATTATTCTGGACACTGACAAAAAACCTATTATTTTGGGGAAGGACAGCCTGGTGTACAGGAAATATTTCACTAAAGTTGAATGATATTTGTTTTCTGAATATGTTGTTGTTGTGTTATGTGCCATCGAGTCGCTTGCAACTCATTGTGACCCTAAACAACCCTAAACTCTGCTCTGTCTGGTACCAATAACACTGTCTCTGATAAACCCATCCCAATTACCCCCCAGTCACTGAATCAATCCACCTCATAGAGGGCCTTCCCCTCCTGTGCTGTCCCTCCACCCTACCAAGCATGATGTCCCTCTCCAAGGACCTGTCTCTCCTTACAACATGTCTAAAGTATGTTAGACAAAGCCTCAGAATCCTTGCCTCCAAGGAGCTGCCCAGTTTAACCCTTTCCAGGATGAATCTGTTTGTTTTCCTAGCAGTCCTCAATACTCGTCTCCAGCACCACAGCTCAAAGGCATCAATTCTCCTTCTATCCTCCATAGTCATTGTCCAACTGTCTGATGCATAACAAGTGATTGCAAAGGCCATGGCCTGTATCAGACACATCTTAGTCTCCAGAGAAATACCATTGCTCTTCAGTACTTTGGAGAGGTCCCTAACAGCAGACTTTCCCATGGCAATACATCTTTTAATTTCCTGGCTACTGGTGCCAAGAGTGTTGTCTGTAGAGCCAAGCAAACTAAAGCTGTGAACAATCTCAATCTCTTCACCATACATCCTGATGCTGCCATTTCGTCAAGTGGTGAGAATCTTTGTCTTCTTGACATTGAGCCTCAATTCATACTGAAGGCTGCAGTCCTTGACCCTCTGCAGCAAGTGCATGAGGCCCTCTTCAGTTTCAGCAAGCAGGGTTGTATCCTGTGCATAACGCAGATTGTTGATAGATCTTCCACCAATCCTGACCCCACATTTTTCCTCATAGAGCCCATCCTCCTGGATAATCTGTTCTGCATACAGGTTGAAAAGGTATAGAGACAGGACATATCCCTGGCATACGCCCTTCCCAATTTTGAACCATGCGGTGTTTCCTTGCGCTGTTCTGACAACTGCCTCTTGGTCGAAGTATAGTTTTCACATTAGCATGATCAAGTGTTCTGGGATTCCCATTCTTCTCAGAGTCAGCCACAGTTTGTTATGATCCACACAGTCAAACACTTTTGCATAGTCAATGAAGCACAGATATACATTCCTCTGGTATTCCCTGTTTTCAGGTAAGATCCATCTAACATTAGCGACAATATCCCTAGTATCACAACCCCTTCTAAACTGAGCCTGGACTTCTGGCAGTTCTCTGCTGATGTGCTGTTCCAGTTGTTTTTGGATAATCTTCAGTAGAATCTTGCTTGCATGTGAAATCAATGATATTGTTCTATAGTTTCCACACTCTGTTGGGTCACTCTTCTTTGGGATGGGAACAAGTATAGATCTTTTCCTGTCAGTTTGCCAAGTGGTTGTTCTCCAGATTTCTTGGCACAACTTGGGGAGCATGTCCAGGGCTGGTCTTTCTGAACATACCATTTACTTCTCATATTGCCAGCTTTGTATGAACTTAGTGTTTCTGTCTGTCAAATTCCCAAATAACTAGTCCTGATCCATTGTCTTGAAAGAATTACTCCCACTGACTGGTTCTCAGTATATTTCCTTCAAATATTACTTGCATATCTGATCTCCTCTCCTGAAGTAAACTCTGTGAAGCCAAGTGCTACTCCTCACTCAGTAATTATTTGTCAAAGTAAACACAGTGTAAGGTCACCGAGCAAGTACAGAACCCAATTCAGGCCAAGAAAGACAGTTTATTAAGGAGAAACTTCCCAGGCTGGCTCTTGAGCAAAAAACCAGTCCCCACTAAAAGTTAGAGAGAGATTTTATATCTTCTTACAAGGAACTTGGGGAAGGGGATGCTCACAGATGTTTTTTACAAGATAGGGAAGTGGGCTGAGGTCTCAGATAACTATTTCTGAGAAAAGAGGTAGAGCAGCTTCACATCCTTGAAAGAGAGAAATAGGAAAGCTGTGCTTCCTATAATTGGATCGTTGCAGTCGCCATTCTGGGAGAGGAAGGAAAGGGCTTTGCAGTCCTAATACACAGAGGATAGGTTTCTATGTAACTGAGACATTTCCATTTTTCAATTCCAGATGGTGACTACAGTCAACCTGAGGGTAAGAAGAATGGTGGGACAGCCAAAGAGGCGGCCGCCAGACCTAGCTGGCTGTTAACAGGAGCTGCCTTTGGTAGCCTTGTGTTTCTCACCCAGTGGATATTTGGAGAGGTCTCTCTTGTTTCCAGATGGGCAGTGAGTGGGCATCCACATCCAGGACCAGATCCTAACCCATTTGGGTAAGTTTGATGCTGGAGGCAATAGGAACAAGGACAGGTTTAGTGGTTGTGTTAAGGGGATGATTTCCAACAGAGTTGACCATACTCAACGACAACAACCAGTCACTCCTCGGGAGAAAAATGAGACATATAGTTGTTGTTATGAGCTCTCAAATCACTTACGACTCATAGCAGCCCTATCTATGTACAACAGCTCTGAACCAAGCTCTATCTTGAGTCAACTTCATTGTCTCTGACATACCCACTCCCGTTACCCCAGTCACTGAGTCACTTCATCTCATTGAGGGTCTTCCTCTCTGATGCTGACCCTCCACCCTTCCAAGCATGATGTCCCTCTCCAAAGATTGGTCCCTCCTAAATATTTTTTTAATTGGGTATGAATGAAGACCTGAAGTGTCCTCTGCAGTCCTTTTTCATGTCTTATTTTACATAGATCCAGGATAGTCCTTAAACTCAAGAAGCAGGAACAAGCTAAGTGCCTCACACGAGATTCTGAAGGCAATTTTTACATTCTCAGCCTGACTCGCTAGCTCCCTACGACCGCAGGCAGACAACTTCTCTTCAGTATGTTAAATGCCTTGTTACTTATTGTATTTTCTTACAGTTACTGAATTAAATGGAATGCTGTAGCTATTGTTACTGGTAATTTTACTTAAAATTTGAATTAAATTCTTTATCTTTTTCCTACAAATTCTCTCCAGAGTAACAAAAATAATTTGGAGAATGTTTTTTTTTTTTAAAAAAAACCACACTCACACCTGTCACCTCCTCTCTGGTACCAGAACCTTGTCTCCCGTGTCCCTCTGCCTGTCTCCTCCTCAGTGGAGCTTCTCGTTCTCTGCCTTGTCCTTGTCTCTGGCTCCTCCCCCTGCATGGACCTAGTTGGAGTGGCATCTCCTGGACCCCAGCTGGCAGAAGCCTTGGAACTGAGCAAGTGTTCATAATCCTGTTCCTTGGCTGATTTAATGAGTGAACAATTGGCTGAAGAATTACAAGTAGAAGCTGCAGCTTTTCTTAAGTTTGTGGTGTTACTGAAGGACCATTTATCACTGGAGAAAACACTGGTCCTTCCAGAGACCTGAGACTGACTCAGATGCCACAGAAGGAATTTGACAGAGAATATGATACACAGCTTAGTAAGAAGGGAAAAAAAGTGGAGATAGCAAATTTCAATGTCCTTTGGAAATTACTTAAAAGTGCATCCTTATGATGGCAGGGATAGTCCTGGAGATGAGATTGACTGGCAAGATGCTCAGGATGACCCCCACAGACCAGCAAAACCAATTCCTACTCCCCGAAAGGATTTTATTAGAAAAAGACATCACTACCAAACACAGCAAGAATGGCACTTTTTGCACCTGAGTTTTAGGTAGGAGATGGAATTGGAATGGATTTGAAACTATCAAACTCTATTTTCAATGCTTTGAAATAACATGTCTACTCAGAAGAGCATTCAAGTGCCAGGCTCCATGAGAATAAGGAGCATTCTACTGCAGAAATAGCAGTTGATCCTAAAACATGCTTATTTTAAGTATAAATTGGTCAATTCTGAATTGCTGAAGACAGTAACTGGCTGTATTAGTGCAGGGAAAGAATCTGTTGTCTTCCATGCATATGGAGGGAGCATGGAGGGTGAAAAGAAAGATGGTAAAGTTGTACCTACAGAATGTGCCATAAACGTGTTTAAAACAAGCTTTAATGTGTTTAAGAACTGTGAAAAATATATTAAATATGATTTCAGGTTTAAAGACCGCTCCAGTAAACTAAATCCACGTAAGATCCACAAGTGGGCAGAGAAAGAGATGCATCATCTCACAAGAATGCCAGGAGCTGGAATTCCTTGTCCAGCAGTTGTAATGCTCAAGAAACACATTTTAGTTATGTCTTTGGTTGGCCATGATCAAGTTCCTCATCCTAAATTAAAATAAGTAAAGCTCAGTGTTGAAGAAATGAAAGATCAAACTCTTCATGTTGAGTTGATTGATGTCATTTGGTCTATGGAGCCAACCCATCCTCACGGCCCGGAGTTTTTGTTTAGTGACAGCAAGAATGCCTCACAGTTTTTCCAGAAGGCGGGAGTAAAGGAAGCCCTTCACGAACGAAAACTCTTCAATGCTGTTTCAGGCTTAAACATCTCAGCAGATAATGAAGCTGATTTCTTAGCTGAGATCAAACCTTTGGAGAAAATGAATGAAGAACATGTTTAGAAGAACGAGGGAAGGCAACTTCATTTCTAAAAGATGATGGAGGTCCATCAGTGCTGTATAACGAATAACAGCAATGCCCACAGCTGTTAATGCTAGCACAGTGGTGACTGTCAGCTGCCAGGGGCAAGAAAATTATGGGTGACTTGAAATACCAAAAAAGGAAACACGAGGAGTGCACAGTGGTGCTTCTGTGGTTCTTCTTTTTCCTTTTAACTCAAGGGCCAGATGTGTGGAATTTTTAGCTCAGTACTGAAAAAATAAAATGTCACTACCATGATCTTCACAATCAGTTGTTATTCATCAGAAAGCTGAACAATGACTAAGGATGACAGACGAATAATTGATGCCTTTTGAGTTATGGTGCTGAAGAAGGGTATCCATATGCCACGGACTGCTAGGAGAACAAACAGGTTTGTCCTAGAGAGGGTGAAGCCAGTTTGCTCTTTGGAGTCAAAGATTCTGAAGCTTCATTTGACATACTTTGGGCATGCTGCAAGGAGGGACCAGTCCTTGGAGAGGGACATCATGCTTGAAAGGGTGGAGGGACAGTGCAGGGGAGGAAGACCCTCGAGATGAATTGGCTCAGTGCCTGGGGCAACGGGATTAAATGTGTCAGAGACAATGAAGTTGTGTCGAGAGAGAGCAGGGTTCAGCGTTGTAGTACATAGGGTTCCTATGAGTCACAAACAACACAATGGCACACAACAACAATAATAACCACCTTTTATCTTATGAACAGAATAATTCTTTAACAGCTAAAGGTTATTACCTGAAATACATCTGATTTTACATATTTCCTGACATAGAATGTTTTCATCAGAATTTTTATAGCTTAGCTACTTATTTCCCAATATGGGAGAACAGGACAGATGTGTTTATTGGTGAGAGTTTTGTTACAACATATTTTCTTTTTACCTCCATGTTTTGTGCTATGACTTTCTACAAATATTTTATTGTCCTAAAATTACCCCATCTCAATTCTTTTTCTGTACTGTGACCATGATTCTAAAGAAAATTTACTTTTTTTTAGTGGGTACTATAAATAGAAATTTGATTTTACTGTGTCTGATGAAAATAGACATAAGTAGTATACTTTTTATTGGTATCTCATGAGAAAGAGCTGATTGCTGTTTTTTCCATCTTTAAATCCAAGAAAACAAATCAAAGTCTCTGAAAAAGGTAAAAGATTTAAGAACTTCTTAAGGATCCACCGAATAAAAAATTTTACATTTTTATCTTTCCTGTTGTTGTTAAGTGCCATCAAGTAGAGTACAACTCATAGGGACCCTATGAACAAAAGATTTTAACCTAGTCTTGCCCTGCACCATCCTCACACTTCCTGATACACAAGAGCCCATTGCAGCAGTCAGTGTCAATCCACCTGGTTGAAGGTGAGCTTCTCCTTCGCTGACCCTCCACCCTTCCCATCATCATGTCCCTCTCCAAAGAATAGCACCTCTTAGCAATATGTCCAAAGTATGTGAGACGAAGCCTCATCATTCTTGCCTCTGAAGGGCACTTCGGCTGCACCCTCTCCAAGACATATCTGTTTGTTCTCTTGGCCTCCATGGGCTATTTAGTGCTCTTCTCCAACACCACAGCTCAAAGGCATAAATTCTTTTTCTGTCATCCTTATTCATTGTCCAGCTTTCAGATGCATAGCTAGAAAGATGCATAGCCAGAAAGACCATGGTCTGAATCAGATGCCCCTTAGTTGTCAAACTGACATCACTACACCTCAATAATTTGGAAAAGTCCTTAACTACAGATTTTTCCCATTGCAGTACATCTCCTTATTTTCTGACCACTGGTACCAAGGGTGCTAATTGTGGATCCAAGCAAGATGAGCTGTTGATAGTTTTAATCTCCTCTCCATCCATCCATGACACTTCCTATTGGTGTAGTCGTAAGAATCTTTATTTTCTTGATATTGAGGCACAATCCATACTGAAGGCTTTCCTACATTTAGCTAAAATGGTTAGGCTAACTCATGGTGTAGCTGCTTTGCATTAATAATGGAAATGTAAATTATTTAGATGGGTAGCAAAACTGTGTGATATTTTAATGAAGTTAATGAAAGAAGGCTGAGGTGAGGAGCTGGCTAGCTGGCTTTCATTGGGAAAGTCTGCTGTCAGAAACATCTCCAGAGTACAGAAGAGCAACTATGTCAGTCTGGAGACTAAGGTGCACCTGATACAGTCCATAGTCTTCACAATTAATTGCTATGCATCAGAAAGCTGGACAATGACCAGGGATGATGGAAGGAGAATTGATACCTTTAGTGAATTGTGCTGTGGTGCTGGAGAAGAGAATTGAACATACCATGGACTGCTAGGAAAACAAACAGGTTCATCCTGGAGAGGGTGAAACTAGGCTGCTCCTTGGATGCTGCTCCTTGGATGCTGCTCCTTGGATGCAAGGATTCTGAAGCTCCATCTGACACACTTTGGGCATATTGCAAGGCAGCACCAGTCCTTGGAGAGGGACATCATGCTTGGGAGGGTGGAAGGACAGCATAGGAGAGGAAGACACTCAATGAGATAGATTGATTCAGTGACTGGAGTAATGGGCGTAGGTGTGTTGGAGTTAGTGATACTGGCTCAGGACAGGGCAGGCTTCAGAACTGCTATATATAAGGTTGCTATGAGTCACAGGTGACTTGATGGCACATAACAACAACAACAACAACGATACAAGGTTCACTTTACACTTCAGCCAAATTATATACTTATTAATTGATTTTGAGAGAAAGATGGCAAGCAAATTTAAAATGTTAAATCAAGCAAATTTGGAACCAAATTAACCAACTTATTACACCTTTTTGGCATTTTTTACACTGACAGACCACACATGTAAGAGAAAGCAAGGTCTATTGGTGCGTAGTTGTTGTTGTGGTTGTATCATTGAGTCGGAACTGACGCAAGCTGACTATCTAGTGGGTTTTCAGAGGCAGTTATTACCACAGGAGGAGACTTCCCATCCTTCTTCCACAGAGCAGCTGGTGGCCTCACACTGCATACCTTTAAGAGTGCAATGCAGCTTCTTCACAACTAGGCCACCAGAACAATTACAAACTTATAAATGTCTCTAAATACCTGCTGAAAGGTCAGCTGTGGGTCATTTCTGACTCTATGATACACAACAACAAAAATGCTATATCATAATTCCTCCTTTTAACCACTAAAGACCCAAACTTACTATCTGATGGTAGAAAAAAAACTAAACATCTTAACATTTTAAAATGCCAAATACTAGAGGTTTTGGGAAAAATATTTAGTTTTGTTTTTGTTGTATAGTTCTTAGTACATTTCAGAGAAAAATGATTGGGATAGGTATTTATAGCATTTCTGAAATATTTACTGCTCTGAAACAAAGATTAACAGACTAGTAATTATTAACAGTAATTTCCAAGTACTGGTCTGTGAATTTGCTGTACAGAGGTATGTACCCTGGGGTTACTGTGATGCTGCACGCTGTGCCCCTGGTGTGTCAAATGCCATAATAGCTACCCATCGTGGTCAGTGTTTGGTGGAGCTCCCAGACTGATTCAGTTTTGGAAACGAGTGGCATCCACTTCCTAAACAACATGCCACTGGAAACTCCGTGAACTTTGATAAATGATGATAGTTATAGAAAGGCTTTAGGCTTTCTATTCATAGGGTCACTATGAGTTATGCTTGACTTGATGGCAGACAACAACAAAAACATCAAATATTAAAAACTTTTACCAATTAAGTTTTGTTTCCTAATATAATCTGTTTGACAAAGAGTGGCAGACCGTTGCTGTGTGGCATTTTTGAAGTGTTTTGTGAACATGCTTTTTTAAAATTAGAAATGAAGAAATACTTTTTTTAAAAAAAGGTCACACATAACTACCAGTTATTTATCAAACTAATACCAGTGTCAGGAACACAAAGTTTACAGATAAAAGCAGTATTGGAACAGAGAAAAGAGAGGGGAAACTAAACAGAAAGGTTCTTTTTTGGGGGCCTTTGCAGTCATTTAAAATATTATGGTCAATGTGAACTCTAATTTCATTAGGCCAAACATTCACTGCCATTGTGTTAATTCCAATTCATAGTGACCTCTATCTGGTTTCCAACAGTATGTATCTTAATAGAAGGAGATGGCCCATCTTTCTCTCTCAGAACAACTGGTAGACTTGAACTGCTGGAGATGAAGCCTTTTGGTTAGCTGTGCAATTCCCTCTGTGAATCATGCCACCAGGAAAGAATTCAGATAGTGTTTTTTCAAATCAGCCTTTTTATTACTTTAATATCCTGAGTGTCAACTCCCAGTAAGCTCTGAATTATCTTGTTGAGTATTTCACATGCACATTGACTCTTAGATGTAGGAGTTATATTTATGTTAAAACAAAATAAGTAAATATTTGGAACATTGAAATGTTAATCATCCAAATGTTTTATCATGTGGCTTGTTTTCTTTACTTTGACAGAGGTGCAATTCTGGTGGGCTTGGCGAGTGGCCTGATGCTCTCAGTTTGTTCTTGGTTTCCTGCTTCTGGTTTAATCTGGTGGGCTACAGGTATGTGAAATTTATCTTCAGACATGGTAGTTATTTTGTTTGTCTAATCAGTGCACTTGCAAACACATGCAGTTAGATTGGAGATAGGTAGGCAAGGAGTCTACATTTATGTCCTCTTACCAAGTGGGTTACAGTCAGCTGTAGCAACTTAGGCATAACCACAGTCACTAGTCCACACTGAGTTCCTGCTTTCTCTTACCTCACTCCCCTTCTCCTCCATGACAGTCCCAGTCACCCCCGTTATCCTGCAAAACAGAGTTTACTAAAGGTTTGAAGAGACAAAAGGGTGACATGCCACTGTCTTGGTAGATTCTATGCCCTCCAGGATGGGCAGTCTCCTTCCTTGTGATTTATAAGCTGGAGGCGCAGCAGTGTGTGTGTTCTGACTTGGCAGCACATAATGGCAACATTACTCTTTAAGTCAGTTGCCACTGAGTGGACTCTCATTCATGGTGGACCCTGTGTGCCTCAGTAGAACTTTGATGTGTAGGATTTTCAGTGGCTATTTTTTTTCAGAACTAGATCCTAATGTGCCTCAGAGTGGACTTGAGTCTCCAGCCTTTGCATTAGTACATTAACTGTACCACATTCATTAATTGTACCACGTAGATATACTCTTCTTTCCTTCTCCCATTAGCATGTGAGAGCATATGAGAGAAATGTTCATATCTTTCTGTGAACGGATTATCAGTCCTCCCTGTTTCCCTTAACACACAGACATTATTATATCCAGTTTTTGACATTAAATCTTTACTGTGTTAGGTACTTTACTAGTTTGTAATGAGCATACATAGTTTCTAATCTGTATGACTTATCACTGGACCAATGGGCAACACTGTGGTAGAGAAAAGATTGAAATTTTTAACAACAATTTCACTTTCATCCATGACTTCATTTTACTTGTTCTTAGCGAACATGGTAGTAGCAGTCAAGACATCAAAAGACATGCTGGATTGGGAAAATCTGCTGTCAAGGACCTCTCCAAAGTGCTTAAGAGCAAGGACGTCAGTTTAAAAACTAAGGTCCACCTGCTCCAAGGCATAGTATTTTCATTTGCTTTTTAGACTTACACCTAGCCCAACAAGCTGTTGTCCAAACAAAGCAAGGGAATACTGCATAGTATAATATCAGGAAAGGTGTGTGTCAGGGTATCCTTTCTCCATTTATATTCAATCTGTATGTTGAGAAGAGTGCATAAGTTCATTACAAAGATAGAGGAGAAAAAAAAGACTACTAGAGTGCCGAGAAGTCAAAGCAGATGGAAAAAATCAAGATATTAAGGAGCTCTGAATATTGCTGTACTAATTAGGATAATGAAGTCACCAAAAACAACAATCTGGCAATTTATTGTTGTACCTCTAGTAGCAAATCAAGTGTAAGAATATCATGTTACAAGATGCAGTTAAGCCTGCATGAATGTGGCAGGATGTGCTCCTGGGAGGGTTTTGAAACAGTACAGTTGAGACTCAAGGTCACATGGAAGTCTCTGCTGAATCCTTGCTGCCAAGGCTTCACACCTGGTGGCTCTCTCCCACCAATGACTGTTGATCAAAAATGCCCACCTTCTTGGTCCCAACTGCTTTAAATAAGAGGTCCCCAGCCACCACATGATTGTTGCAGAATAAAGATCTTAACTGTAATGAATGGGGCTGTACAGTGCACATGGAATCTTATGAAATGGAAAAATTAATCTCCTGAAAAATAACATTGTGGTTAATATTGTTGAGATGTTCAGTTATTGCTCATCTTGCTTGTTGTCTTCAAGTTGGGGTGATAGTGGGCATAGATCAAAGGTGATTAACTTTCTAAAATAGTACATGGGAATGATCATATGAAACACCGCAAATGAACATGTATGAAACACAATGTACATGACTGAAACACAATGTATACAAATTTTGTGTGACAAAGAGTATAAACTAAAAATACAACCTAATACTCACAATTAAAAATAAAAACTAAAAATAATTTTTAAAAATATTTTAAGTGAAAAATACAAAGGGATATGTGTTGTCCATGGTAGGGTACCACTGACACACAAGCACTGCCTACCTATGTACTAACATATCTTGGATGTGTTACAGATTTGTTTCTAGACAACCTAAACAAAGCAAATATTGCACTAAAGTTGCTCATACACATTTTTATGTGCATATGGAATTTATATGTACTATAATCTGTTAAATGTGTAACTCTGAACTCTCATTACTGCTGAATTGGAATTGGCTCCTATCTGGCTCTCCAGTGAATTTTAAGAGGCTTTAAAGTGCATGCCTAGGTAAAGATCTGTTTTTCTCATACAGAGCAGCTAGTGGTTTTGAACCACTTGCCTTTAAATTGACAATACAACTCCTTATCAGCTAGGGCACCAGAACTCCCTTAAATGTATGCAACAGCACTGTGAAATCATTTGAGATTTTTCAAGAATTACAAAAAAGTTACACTAAAACATGGTGTTGGAAAAATGGCTTACTGAATGTAAGATTGTGACAAACCTTTCATTTCTAAAAACGAAACTGGCTTCAACGTGCAATAAAACAAAATATACCTGTGGGCTTCTTTGCATGACAGACTCTAGAAGGATGCAGAAGAAGAATAGATTTGTTGTCTTCATTCAGGGAATAGTTGGTGATGACGACTGTTTTGTGCCTTTTAAATTTTGTTGTTTTAATTTATAACCTGTAAGATGCATGATATTGTTGTTATGTGCTGTTGAATTGCCTTTGACTCATAGTGACCCTGTGTACAGCCGCTCTGAAGCCTGCCCTATCCTGAGCCTGTCTCACTGACTCCGACGCACCAGCCCCATTGCCCTAGTTATTGTATCAATCCATCTCATCCATGGTTTCCTCTCCTGCATTGTCCCTTCTGAGCATGGTGTCCTTCTTCAAGGATTGGTTCCTCCTGGCATATGTGCCCAATGTATGTGAGATAAAGCTTCAAAATCTTAGCCTCCAGAGAGACTTTCACCCTCTCCAAGAGAGACCTATTTGTTTTCTTGTTTGTCTGTGGTATGTTCAAGACTCTTCCCCATCACAACTCAAAGGCACCAATTGTTCTTCTGTTATCCTTAGTCACTGCCCACCCTTCTAATGCATAGAAAGTAATTGTGAAGACAATATTAAAGAAAAAGTTTGAAGTTGTCAATGATTTCATTTTACTTGGATTCTCAGCCCAAACCTGTGAAAGCAGCGGATAAGAAATCCAAAGGTGTATTGCACTGGTTAATCTGCTGTCAGGCACCTCTTTAAAGTGCTAATGAGCAAGAATGTAAGTTTAACAACTGAGGTGTGACTGATCCAAGCTATTGCTATGTACCATTGCTTCGTGGAGATGTGGGCAGTGAATAAGGAAGACCAAAGAAGAATTGATGCCTTTGAATTATATTGGCAGAGAGTAGTGGATAATGCCACACACAGCCAAAAGAACAAAAAATATATGTTGGAAGAAATGCAGCCAGAGAGTTCCTTACAGACAAGGATGATGAGACTGTCTCACGTACATTGGGCATATTGTCAAGAAGAACCTATCTCTGGAAAAGGAGATCATGCTTGGGAAGGTGGAGGGCTGGACAAGGAGAAGACCTTCAGTGAGCTGGATTAACAGGGTGCTTGTAACAATGGACACATCCCAAGATTGTAACATACAGTGTGGTTAACATGGCAGAGATTGTGGGGATGGGGCAGGATAGGGCAAGGTTTAGATGTGTTGAAAATAAAGTTGCTAAGAGGCAGAGACAGCTTGATGGCATAACAATAGCGCGCGCGCGTGTGTGTGTGTGTGTGTGTGTGTGTGTGTGTGTGTATCTGAAACAGTAAGACTCTTGGTGCTTCTCTATCTGATCCTTCTCTCTCTCCCTCACAAACAGGAGCGGCTTCCGCCGCAGGGCTCCTTTACCTGCCCACGTGGTCAGCGGCCATTTCTGGGTGCATGCTTGCCATCTTCACAGCCTCCCTGTGGCCTCAAGTACTGGGACACCTGATTTCCTCAGAGACACGCCCTGGGAAAGCCATGACTGTCGCCATGACATTTTATCTTCTTGAAATATTTTTCTGCTCTTGGTGCACAGCTTTTAAGTTTGTCCCAGGAGGCGTCTATGCTAGAGAAAGATCTGATTTCCTTTTGGGTGAGTACTTTCGAAAAGCCTAGATTAAAGTAACAACTCAAAATTACACCTCCGTCTTGACCAAAATGTAACAATTTATAGGACTCATGCAAGACCTGTAAGAAATTGTGCTGTTAACCCAAAGGCTGGTAGTTTGAATCCACCAGTGGCTCCACAGGAGAAAGATGGACAAACTCTTCCCATGTGACTCACAGCCTGAAGAGCCCACTGGAGAGTTAGCGGAGAGTTACTGCAATGAGAGAGTGAGAGAAAAGAAATAGATTTATCTTGTATTTTTTAGGGAAATGGGCTTTCTAGAAGAAAAACAAAAACTTGAAAAAAAGTCTGAATCAGTGACCAAATTTTTAGTTCACTGAATTTCAAGAATGTTTATTTCTACCACAGTGGGGTTTTTTATTGAGTTAATGTGAAAAAAATGAATCCATAAATTATTATCATGATGCTTATGCTGCTATAATAGACTGATAACTAAAGAGAAAGATTAAGGGATTTATTTGCTCCTTTGAATTTTAGCTTTCATATTTACCATATTTTTACCAATAAAATATATTTGCATATGTGTATCTTATTTAAAATGCTAAACCCCTTGGGATTTTATCTCTAACTTATATTTACCATGTTTTTACTGATAAAATATATTTGCACATATATATCTTATTTTAAATGATAAATCATGGAATAAATTAACTTTCTAATTCAGTGATTATAAATGTATGTATCCAGATTAAAATGTCATATAATCCAGCTCAGGCTAACCTCTTTAAATAGTGTCATTTGGCAGTAATGAAATTATCAATGGATACCAAACATACATAAATGAGGCGTTGCCTATAATTTTAGTTTAAGTAAAGTATGTCAGGTACTTCCAGAACAAACTCTGAGAAATGAAGAAAGAAAAGATGTTAATAAGGGAGCCAATTTGTGTCGCTCACACGTTTATTTTTCTACTTAATTACTGATTTATTTAAAAATGATTGAGCACTTACTATCTTCTAAGTACCTTGCTTGCCAAGTGCTAGAGATTCAAGACTCACGCTGCCACTCCCAGTCTAGAACTTTCGTGGGGAAAGAGTGCTGAAAAGGAGAGGTATAGAATACACTTGTATTCCTTTGCATTTGCCCACTGTTTCCTGGCATTTAACCAACTGCTTTGTACATTTCACATCCATCTTTACATTCTACAAGGAAGACAACTGTCAGGAAAGGCTGCTTTCTTTTAAAATTGCTTTAAATAATTTCAAAATCTCTTTTGAAGGTTATGCATCTCTGATTGTTACTGGCTCTCCTCAAATTAGAGAAATTCATTGCAGTGTTTCCTCTGGGATAATCTGGGCTTTGTGAACTGAGTTTCTTCTGGTTTCTTTCAGGTGTGGGGGCTCTGTTCCGCTCTATCTTCCTGTCCAATGCCCTGCTTCTTTCTAACTCCAGCTTGCTTAGGGGGCAGCTTTGTGGAGGAAACGAATGGAAGTAAGAACATTCAATCCTGTGCCTTAATTTGCTTCTTCAAATGTTACAAGTGATGAGATTTTTTTTTAGTTCTTTCTCACTGTTTACAAGGGTGGTAAAACTATGTTCTTAGATGCTCATGAGATTTTTGTTGTTGTGTGGTTTTGAGTAAGCATTAACATCATATTGATAAGACGGCAGAGAAGACCAGGTAGCACTGAAAATGTTCAGAGTAATTTTTTATCCAAAAATTGCTAAGATTCTGTATTCTATAAAAAATTAGCTATAAACATATTTTCAAGGAATCATCTCTCCTCTTCCTGAGTTGTAACTTTGCTGTTTGGGATTCTTTTTTAAAGCTTAAATCATTGATTGGTATTTCTTAATTTATATATTGTTCAGTCAGACTTCTGTTTCTATTTTCATTATGTGTTATTTTAGAAGTCTGTAAGCTTTATATGTCAGGGAGCTCTGGTATCTTAGTCTACAGGGAGTTGAGCTTTTAACACTAATGAGGCTTTCTCTGGAGGTTCGAATCTACCAACTGCTCTACCGGAGGGGGATGAGCAGTCTTCTCTTCTGCTGTTTACAGCCTCAGGGAAACATGCTGGAGGGTCAGCTATAAATTGGTTCTGACTCAAAGGCACTGAATGAGTTTTAAACTCTACATGAAGCCTACATTGTAAACCATCTTAATTTAGCACAATGTTATTGGCTAACTTTATAGATGTAGCATATAAAGTTTTGACATCCTTCTTTGTCTGCAAATTTCCTGTGCCCAGAATTCCTGCATTCTAGATCAGATTGCCACAAACATCATTGTATGTGGAATATCCACATCCTCTGTGTGCGTCTCAAAATGATGCATGCATATAGAAGACTGTGCACCTCAGTCCATTCAGAAGGCCCCATTCTCATGTGCTCTGTCCTTCCTGCCTAGCCAATAGCTGTTCCCTCATGACCACTGCTTTAAGATATCAGCAACCTAACAACTAGGAAACACTCGAGAAATGTAATCTCTTATCAGGAAAAGGTTGAGATCCCCTCCGTTACAGCCCGATTCCTAGAACGCTGGTTTCTTAGAATTACCTTCATTATTAAATTACTGTAAGAGTACTTTATTGAGTAAAGTACTGAACTAAGTTAACACAATAACTGGATTTTCAGGAAATATTAATTTAAATGGTGGTTCAGCTCCTGAAATACACCTTTGAAAGGACTTTTGGGGGAAAAAATATAATCTTGTCTTTGTTTCTCTTATAACAGGGACAATGATGCTAATTATTGGGCTGAATATGCTACTTGGTCCTAAGAAAAACCTTGACTTTCTTCTTCAGACAAAAAATAGTCCTAAAATACTTTTCCAAAAGAGTGACAAATACATGAAACTGTGTAAGTATAGTTTTGTGGTGTTTTGTTTTGTTTTGCTGCTATGAAAGTCCTCTCCTTAAAATTTTTTTAAATAAAGGTAATGTATTATTTATACTACCGAAATTGTCCTGAAAGAATACTATACACCATGTATAATTGAAAGCCTCACACTCCTTCCAAATATATGGAGCAATACACTCAACACAAAACAGTAGTCAGATTCCTTCTCTATAGTGCAGGCTTAAGCAATGCAATTTTTTTTCCTTCTAATCCTGTGGCGAATTTTTACTGAAGCACAAGGATTGAATTGGTGACATGTCTTACTTTAAGATTTAGTGCTTTTGATTGCTTTTATGACAGTGGTTTTAGGCAGAGGTGCTTCAATTTAAGATACCAAAGAGAAACATTCATTTTCTTAGTCTTAAATTTCCTACTTTTCATACTATGATATATCTGTATCACAACTGACATATTCCAATTTTATTTAAAAAAATACTGGTGCATACACAGAGCGAACTGAGGCAACTCAAAACTTAGCGATCTAAGTAGTGGAGTACAGACAAGAAACTCTCTATGGCAAAGAAATGAAAAAGTGTCTTAGTCATTTAATCATACTTAAATAAGTGGCTCTTACTCAATTTTTTTTTTCTATAAGGGAAAAAAATACTAGTTTTAAGATGCATTTGTGTTAAGAGTTAGTGGCACAAAAACTTAAGATAAAACTTGTTTCCAAAATCACAAAATAACATTGTTCAGTGTACATTATTTTGCCTTTTTTGGTGGTAGTAGTGCAGGAGTGGGGAGGTGGCGAGGGGAGTTAGTAACCAATGCTAGAGAAAATATTTTATCAAGAGTAACAGTAACTGGGAATATACCCTAAATAAACCAGAACCACTTTTCAAATAGATATATGCACACTCATGTTTATTGCTGCGTTATTTACAATAGCAAAGAGATGGAAGCAAACCAAGTGCCTATCAACAAATTAATGGATAAAAAACCTGTGGTATATTCATACAATGGAATACTACACAGCACTGAAAAGCAATGAACTTGTAAAACATTATACAACATGGGGAACCCTGGAATATCATATTAAGTGAAATATCTGTCACAAAAGGACAAATGCTGCATGGCATCAGTGTTATAAAGCAAGTCTGATATGGGGAGTTGGGAGGAGAAGATGACAAAAGTGGATAGATAATGACCATTGCATTGGAACAGATGAAGGAAAGAATATATGATTTGGCATCATATGTACAACAATAACCCAGGATAAGAGGTACATCATTGCAAAGAGGACTGGGGGGGGGTGTGGGAGGTAGGTAATTGGGCAACAGTAAATGAATATTAAAAAAAAAGAAAAGTGAACTAGGGGAGAAGGGAGGGAAGGAGAGGGGTCAAATGTGCCATAATGAGTGAATGAAGATAGAACTTTTCTGTAAACATTCATCAAAATCACAATTAAAATTTTAAAAAATCACTTAAAAAGTAACAGTATATGCATATAGGAGAAAATAAATTTTTTTAAAAGTATATTGGTATGATCTTCAAAAAATATAAAATGACACATACAAAATGGAAGGCAAAGTGTAAGTAGGCAGGTCTTTGCTTCCAAGCCCAGCACTATCATAATCATTTCTAGCATAAAAGCAGGAAGTTCATGGATCTCAAGTATTTTCAACAGCTGCCAACATAACTTAAAATTACTAATTACTGTCCATGCTCCTTTGAGAGATTTGTTTTCCAATATTTGTGGTTGAGTCCTAAAATGTCATCTAATTTTACTTTTTCCTTGAGATACCAAGTTAATTTAAAAGTTCCTCAGTTTTATTTAGATGTGCAAAGGGGTGTATATTTAGTCTATTCTGTGAGTTCATTAGAAAATTTCTGCCTTTGTTTTCAAGCATAATTGTAGGGAGGGGGGTTTGCTGTAAAATTCTAATACTTCCCTTACATAACACACAGAGATTTTACATCTATTAATCCTCTTCTTGGAGTACGCACTGTTAACATAGCAACACTGTCCAACATGAAAGTAATCTTACAGTTTGCATTTGTACTCACTCCCAGCTCTCTCATTCTAGCTTCTATCCACTTGACATTTGTTGCAGATCAAATAACAATGTCATAATCCTCTTATGCAGATGTTAGGAATTCATGAGGGTATGGTCACGCTAGTTTAACCCCAGTTTCTGCAAAAGATCTAAGGTCAAATAATGTATAATCAACATCAAGAACCAAAAGTTTTTTCCTTTTCCTGGGAAGAGTCAGAATTTCCGCTTTATACTCTCAGAAATTTTCAGTAGATTTTCTTTGCTATTTTCTGCTTTAACTATGTCAATATCAAAGACATTGGCGACATCATCATAGTTGGGATTGGACCTAAGACACCTTCCATGTGCTCTTCACAAGTTCCCATCATCATGATTTTAGTATTTGGTTTCAGTTTGAGCGCTCCAAGCTTAACATCATTTTCTGCAGGTTTGCCTGGAGCATACTGGAGCTGGGACAGTAGACACAAGAACCCTTCTATATTTATTGTTTTAATTGTGATTTAAATGAAAGTTTACAGAAAGATTGGGTTTCCATCCATCCATCCATCCATCCATCCATCCATCCATCCATCCATCCATTGTTGTGCATTTTCCTCCCTTCCCCACAGTCCACTTTGTAATGTGTCTCTTGCTCTGTATTGTTAATTGCCATATATATAAATGCCTAATCACACGTTTCTTTCAGAAAGTCCTTCTCCTTGTCTGTTCCAGTGCAGTGTTTATTACCTATCCACTCTTTTCCTGTTGTCTCCCTAACTCCTCTTGTCAGTCCTATTATATAACAGAAATGTTATACAGTATTTGTCTTCATGTAACTGAGATATTTCACTTGGCATAATATCTACCAGTCTCACCTATTGGTAGCATCAGGATGGATGGCAAAGAGATTGAGATTGTTCACAGCTTCAGTTTGCTCAGCTCCACAGTCAACACTCTTGGC